CATCGAAAGGAAAGGGGCCATGGCCCTGAGGTCTGGGAACTCTCGCGAACCCGGCCATGATATCCCTCCCCGCCTAGTGTGGGCCCTGGAAACGACAGGGCCGTCTTTGTTACCGGTTCCGTGTTGCCGTTTTTGTTTCCGGTTCCGACGCCGTTTGTTTACAGGTTCCGTCGCCGTTTTTTGACCGGTTCCGGCTCCGGTTCCAATCCTGGAGCCGCTTTTTGCCGTTTCCGGTCGCCGTTTTTTTTTGCCGTTTCCATCTTCAAGGGACCTTTTCTGGAAACGGTGGAAGAACGGCCCTGCCGTTTCCGGGGCCCACAAAGGTCCTTGCCTCCCTCGTGGACGCCCCCGACCTTACTCGGGGGTGGCGGGAACTCCCTGAAAGAAACCCACCTCGAAAGGAACTCCCTTCGGCAAACGACCCCGAAAGAAACCTACCTCGGGCCACGCCGGGTGGGCGCAGGCCCCCAAACGTTGCGGGCGGCGCTGGACCCTCTCGAGCGCCGAGAACAAACACCTGCCGAGCGACTTGGCCGGGTGGGGTTCTATACACCGACTGGGCGCGCCCGACCTCGTCCCTGGAGCTGCTTCGGGCTGCGCGCAGGCAACCTCCCCAAGGTAGCCCCGGCTGGCCTCTCCACGTGCCCATCCCCCCCCCCCCCCGAGTCGCCCCAGCTGGCCTCGACAGGCCCCCCCTGGCCAGTCCAGGGCGGTCTCCCTCGGCGCCGCCTCTGGCGCCGCCCCGGGGACGCTCGACGCCCCCATGGGTGGAGGTGTGGAGACCGCTCTGGGCTGCTTGGGGGGCCTGCCGAGGCCAGCCGGGACTGCCTGGGAGGAGGAGGAGGAGGAGGAGGGTTTTTTTTTTACGTATTTCGGAGGAAAGATGATGGAAGGTACAGATGGGGGAGGAGGGAGAAGGAAGGAGAGGAGGACGATGAGGAAGCAAGAGGAGAAGAGGAGGGGGAGAACGAGGAGGGGGAGGCCTGTGGAGGAGGAGGGGGAGAACGAGGAGGGGGAGGCCTGTGGAGGCCAAGCGGGACGGCCTGGGGCTGCCAGTGCGCAGCCCGAGGCCCCGCCGCCCCCGAGACCTCGTCCCCTGCGCCCGTGCCCTCCCCGGGCCTGGCTCTGTGGCCCAGGCTCCAGTCGGGTCGTCCTGGCGCCTCGCCCCGCAGGTCCTGCGAGGAGCGCTCGGCCGTGCTCCTCCTCCACCTCCTCCGCCTCCTCCCCTCCTCCTCCTCCTCCTCCTGTCCCTCTTCTTGCCCCATCATGCATCCCTCTCCTCATCTCACAGGCTCCACTTCCAGCCTTCTATTCTCCTTTCTCTTCCTCCTTCCTCCTCCTCCTCCTCATCCTCCTCCCCTCCTCCTCCTCCTGCTCCTCCTCCTCCTGCTGCTCATACTCCTGCACTAACTTATAACCCCCCTCCTCTGCTTTTACGCCGCCCTCCTCCTTCTCTTCCTCATGTTTCTCCTTCCTCCTCCTCCGCCTCCTCCTCCTCCTCCTCCTCCTCCTCCTCCTCCTCCTCCTTCATCTCCTCCTCCACCCCCTACTCCTCCTTTTCTTGCTTTGCTCGTGCTCCTCCCTCATCCCGAATCCTCCCCGACCCCCTCCCGCAGCTTCTCATGGGCCCGCGCCCACCCACCCCTGCCTCCTCCTCGTCCGCGCCCCCCTTCCCCTGTAGGGCAGGCGCGTGCCGTGGCAGCCCTGGCGCTACGGGTTGGATCGTTCAACCCTCTAACAAAAACGCGCAGTAAGGGTGCAAGCGCCCTGGAAGGCCATGTCGGCACTCTGCGAGCGGGGCGCGGCCAGCGAAAGCGGCCAAGGATGAGCCAGCCGGAAGGATGCAGGGGTAAACTTGGAAATTCACTCATCCTTACTACGCTGGTGTATTGTACATCCAGCGGTTCGATCGCCAGATGGTTCCAAATTGGCCCGCTCAGGGCCACCGGCGGCGTTCCATCTTCCCAGACATACGACGTCCTACTGTACCAGTCCGTCCTGCAGTGTTGGGTGAGATTTCGACACACCCCTCACACGCTGCCTGGCCCCAGAGGGAGCTCCACCGAAGGCTCTTGTAGCAGCGTTCGCATGCGTCCCCGCCGCACTTTCGGCAGCAGCGTTCGCATGCGTCCCCGCCGCACTTTCGGCACGCCCCTCACGCGCTTCGTGGACCCATAGGGCGCTCCACCGAAGGCCCCCGCGGCAGCGTTCGCATGCGTCGCCGCCGCAAATTTCGGCACACCCCTCACACGTCCCGTGGGCCAGTAGGGAGCTCCACCGAAGGCCCCGCGGCAGCGTTCGCATGCGCTTCCGCCGCAGATTCCGGCACACGCTCACACGTTTCGCGGGCCAATAGGGAGCTCCACCGAAGGCTCCCGCGGCATCGTTCGCATGCGTCCCCCAGCCCATATTGCAGCACACTCCTCGCACGCTTCGTGGCCCCATAAAGGGGGGGATCCACCGGAGTTTTCTGTGACAGGGTTTGGATGCGCCCCCCAGCTAATTTCGGCGCATCCCTCACACGCGTCGTTGCCCCATACAAGGCAGCGAAGGCTCCAGTGGCAGGGCCCGCACGCTTTTTTGTTGGGGGGGTCTTAAAACATTTGTGCACTTTTCATACGCTTGAGACCCCCATCCGCACGTCCCGTGCCCCATCCTTCCCGCGGCGCGCTGCCTTCGAGGGATGGGGATCATCAGACAAGCGCGCTCCACTACTCGCAAAATGCGACTCGCAACTGACCTGGATCCGCCGCGGGGGGTTTATGATATACATCGAGGCTACCAAATACTTTCCGGACGTGTGCGAGTAGACACTTCGCGAGTAGTGGAACGCGCTCAGTGAATCATACACTGCATGATTCGCAGCTGCAGATGGTTGGGTCTTTCGGCGGGGCCGCCGCCACGCCGAGACAGTGTGACTCTGCCGCAGCGCTCCGCCCCGCGCGTCCTGCAGAACAGCTCGGCCTGCAGGTAGGCGCTGCCGCACAGGGCGCAGTCCTGGGCAGGGGAGGGAGGACGAGGAGCAGCGCCAGCGCGAAGAAGGTTGACGAACAAGAGAATCAACGGGAAGGAGACGGAGAGAGAGAAAGAGAGATAGACCCGTACCTCCTTGCGTCGTGAGACACAACGACGTGCGGGTTTAGGCTGTTTGCGGCTTTGGGAGACTTGCGAGAATGTTGCCGGCTCCCGTTAGCGACTTGCTGACTACTTCCTAGGCGAGGGCTGTGCAGCTCGCAGGTGGGAACAGGCGGTAAAAGCATGGGCGGCGTGCTGAAGGCATTCGCTTCCGTGCACCTTTTTCACCCCTTGCTCACGCGCCGTGTCCGGCGCAAGGCTTCTGGACTGGACGGGGCTGGGAGTTTTTGCTGGGCACTCCAGACCGTCAAGACGGACTCGGGACGAACAAAAACATGGTCCAGGAGACATGGGCCCAGACCTCTGAGGGCCCATTTTGTGACAGACAACGGCGTCAGGGGTATGGAATTAGGGGGCAAGAGAGATGAATAGAGAGAGGGAATTGCAATAGACAAGTACCTGGGACGTTCGATTGTACGAGAAAGCTATGCTGTGCTACAACACTTGCACTGGACGCCCTGCTGGCTAGGCAACCCGCCTATGGAGAGCTTCTCGCACTCTCTTGGGCATGCCCGAAAGATGGGGCCACAAGCCCCGAGACATTATACGCAGATTCTGCTCCGCTTTAGCAGTCCGAGGCTCGCACTTGTCGAGAAAGAGAAAGAGAGAGAGAGAGAGAGAGAGAGAGAGAGAGCGAGAGAGCGAGAGAGCGCAAGCGAGAAAGAGAGAGAGAGCAGAGGAGGGACGCGGTGTCCCACAACCTGGGCCCACTCGCCGCTGCTCCATGGGCGGGCGTTCCCCCTCCAAGGCCCCGCCCTCGCTGCCCCGCGGTGTGCCTGCTTGCGGGACCCCGCCGGCCGCCGCCGCCGTTGCTGCGACGGGGGATGCCGAGGGAGAGAGGGAGAGGGAGGAGAGAGAGAGAGAGAGAGAGAGAGAGCAGGAGGATGGAGGAGCCGCGGAGGAGGCGCAGGAAGCTAGCAAGAAGGAGGCGCAAGATATGACCAGCGCGGACGCATGTGACGATGGCAAGAGTGATGATGATGATGATCATGATGATGATGATGATGATGATGATGATGATGATGATGATGATGATGATGATGATGATGATGATGATGATGATGATGATGAGTGAGGAGAAGGAGAGGAGGAAAGAGGAGGAGGAGATGGAGGAGGAGGAGGAGGAGGAGGAGGGAGGAGAGGAGGATGGTGGAGTGGGAGGAGGGATGAGATGGGGGGAGAGAGAGGTGGAGGAGGAGGAGTGAGGAGGAGGAGGAGGAGGAGGAGGAGGACGGGAGAGATAAGACGAGGAGGGAAACGACGGCTGCTGCCGGGACTCGCAGCCCCCCTCCGGCTGGCGCGGGCCCGCCCCGGGACGCCGTCCCGCGCCTGGCGTGCACCGACGCCCCCCGCCGGGAGGCGAGGCGGAGGACGGCGCAGACTGCCCCGGGGCCTGCGAGGCTGCCCCCCCTCCTCCCTCCTCCTCCTCCCCTCCCCCTCCTCCCCCCTCCCCCCCCCTCCCTCCTCCCCTCCTCCCTCCTCCCCTCCTCCCTCCTCCCCTCCTCCCCTCCTCCGCCCCCGGCGAGCCTGGCGCGGCCCGTGCGCACGAGCAGGCTCCCCCTGGCGGGCACATCTGCGCCAGGGGGGGGGGGTCAGGGGCCCCCCGGGGACCGACCCGGCCACCTGCGGGGAAGCGCAGGGCCGCAACGCCTGGATCGTCGGCTCCACACGTCGCCACGGCCGGCGGCGTGGTCGCGGGCATCCTGATCAGCAGGGGAAGGACCCCTAACCCTTCGGGAGGGGACCTAGGTTGGGAGGGCCAGCGGCACGAGGGGCAAGGGGGCCTTTTTTTGTTCTGCGGCTCTGCGGATGTGCCACACCAGACCGCCCCGGATGGTTTCTCTCTGCTGCAGCGACGGGGGCAAAAGTGAGGCCATCGTCCTCACAAAGTTATTTGGGCTCGGGGCTCTATTGTCCTAGATGAATTTCCATGGTCCTCCATATCCGCCACCGCGCCGCAGGCACCGAATGGAATGCTCTCAAGACCTCAACTCCCCCCAACATAGACTACTGCCAACCCCTTTTGGCCCCCGTGCCCCCGATCTCCGGGCTTTCCAACGCGTTCTCGCGCGATTCTGGGTGCCCTCGGGGTTCCTCGCGCAAGTTCCCGCAAGGCCCCCGACACCCTGGGCATCGGACCTGGGAGCTACCCCCCTGAGATCGCCAGTAGGAGCCAAAGGCGATTTCAAGGGTCTCAGAGGCCCCGCGACACGCCCTGCTGCAGGCCCCCAGGAGCCCTCAAGAGGCTCCCAAGATGCCCCCATGAGACTCACCAAAGGGACTTCAGGAGGTCCCCCTGGAGAGCGCAGGTGACCGCTCTGCTCTACGACCTGGGCACGGTGACGAGCGTGGCCCAAGACCGCTAGATACATACGCATCCGTATCCACACGAGCTGGCTAATTTCTTTGGTTGTGGATGAATATGCATGTAGTTCTATGTGGAACCCTGGCTCACCTTGCTCGGCGACGTTTCGACACGCAGAGGGAGGAACGCGCAGACGAACAGAAGTCTCGTGAAAAGGGTGGCGATGCACGGACCGTCTTGGCTTATGCAACGCTCGTCTTGTTTGGCGGGTGTACGTCTGGAAAGGCGCTCGGCAACAAATTATCCTTCTTACCCCCCTCGCTTTCCACTACTTGATTCGCAAGCCCTCCGCCTTCATTCGTCCACCTGCTCTCCTTGCTTGTGTTTACTCCTCTAAATATTGTGTTTCATATCTATACGTTCCTCTTCCAGCGCTCTTGTTACCTCTTCCACTTCGCATATGGCTTCAAGCTTTCCTCTGACGTCGTTGTCCATTTCCTCCCCTCCTGATCAGCTCCCTCTTATTTCCTCTTAGAGTCCTCGCCTCCCTGTCAACAGCGCAGCTGTCGCCACTGTCGTGAGCTCATCAAGATCCCGCGGAGATTCTGGGCTGCCCAGATCCACACGACACCTCGCCTTCGATGCTGTTGCGAGCTTTGGAAGTGTAGCCGACGTTGTGCCCTCTTTTGGAACCCACGAAGTGCGGCACTACGCATATCCAAACGAGACATTGCCTCCCTAGGTGCTACTGGCTGCGCAATTTTCGCCGCGTGCGTGAGCTTCTAGCAAGCTCACCAAAATGCGGGTCTACGCAAGTCTAAGTGACATCTCACAATTGCATCAATTCTGTCAACTGCGGAACTGTCGCCAATTTCGTGGGCCCCGAAGAAGTCAAACTACCATCTGCGTAAGTGCACCGTTCACGTGACTCTACTTGGAATTCCAGCGGAGTTCGGGGCTACGCATATCCAGACGAGGCCTCGCTTCCTTGGACGCTGCCAACAGCGAAATTGATTCAAAATTCGTGGGCTCCTGGGGGGGAAAGCCGAACTCAGGCTACGAGAACCCGCCCCCCAAGGAAGCTGCCAATTGCCAGCAATCGCTCCTTTCGTGATCCCCTGAGAGACCAGCGGAACGACGTCATACACGGACCCGAAGGAAACCTCGTCTCAGAGGGGGCTGCCACCTGCGAAACTCACCCGCTGATGTGACTTACTGGGAAATCCAGCGGAGTGCGGGGCCAAGCAGATCCAACCGAGACCTCGCCTCCACGGGTACAACAAGCTGTGCAGATGTCACCACTCCCGTGAGCCCCCGAAAGGTCGAGCGGAATGCGGGTCCACGCAGATCCCGCCTCCCTGTATGCTGCCAATAGCGAAACTGTCGCCGCTTTCGTGGGGCTCCTGGGAAATCCAATGGAGAGCAAAAAAAGGCAAACCCAAACAAAACTCCGCCCCCATGGTCCGCCCGGCCCGACTTCCGCCAGCCTGGCCGACTTTCGCCGGCACAAGGTTCCCCGTACGTGCGTGTCCACCTCCTATGCCACCACGGTCCTCACGTCTGGGGCTTGCCCAAGCTGGACCGTGCCCGACAGGTGCATCGTCGACGCCAGCTTCGAGGACGCTAACAAACATGGACGGGCTCTGGCTGCACCTGTACGGCATGCATGTGTAGCGCCACGACGTCGGACAATTTGCGCACAATGCGCGGTGACGGGACGGCGACGGCGAGCACGGAGCCGCAAGGCCGCCAATCAGGCCCAAACGACGGGCGACGAGGCGGCGACGAGGCGGCGACGGCGAGCACGGAACCGCCAGACCGCCAGCCAAGCCCAGTTCCTTAGATGAGAGAAGGACCCGTCGGTATAAGCACTGCTTGGGAATGTATAAAGAAACCTGCGCCTAGTGCACATCCCCCGTTGACAGAAGCGTGAACAAATATAGCGGCATACACATACGAATCGGCATACATGTACATAGAACGGTCACGCACTCACGCTTACGACTACAGTCCTACATACGCGGGAAACCGCACGTCAACATGCACGTGCACGAGTATATGTACGTCCCCATGCGCATGGTCAAGGGCACACGTGCCCGTGTCTTATCTGCTGCCCATGTGCGGATTGGTAAAAAACAAACACACGGATTCGTATTGGGACGCGTGCCTATGAACATGCAGGCGCTTATGCGTGTGAATGTGCATTTTCTCAAATGCACACGTGTGCACGCGAACGTGCACGCGATGCTTAACATGCAGGTGCTGTTGCAAGTGAACCAAGAACCCAAACAACGTGTGGCATCAAAATGTCGCCACCTTCACCCCAGCAACACTCACATCAAACGGCCGGAACCAATCACACAGTCTCCAACAACGCGGGGCGCCAATGGAGAAACAACTCCACCTTCTACATGCGGAAGTTCTGCCGACTTGCCCTGTGGGCATGGGGACCACCACCACCAGCCCCTCCGCACGGACTCCCTCTCCAGAAGCACCCTCATCACACTCATTATCTGCTGTTGCGGGGTGCTGCGTATTCCCCACATGCCTGTAAGAGCCTTGAGACCTGCTACGAGGTGGCTCCAAGTGGCCACGGATCTTCAAAGAAGTCCCCTAAGAGGACCCCCAACAGAGCCCACTAGGCTACCAATAGAGCCTAAAGAAGGGCTCCAGAGCGTCAGCGTCGACGTCGTCGGCGCCGCCACCGCCGCCGCCGTCGTCGTCGTCGTCGTCGTCTCTCTTCAGGGTCGGCGGCACTGGCCGTAAGCCTTCCCAATAATACTGACCTGCCTGAAGAAACTCAGATGCATAATGCGGGCCAATGTTACGCAATTCAAACTAGGTACCATTCCTAAGAGATTTCTCAAACACTGTGTCCTGGCAGCGGCAACGATACGTTCGAAGAAGAACCGTGCACAAACTAGAACTACAAGCCGGGCTCAGAATCCAACGGATTTCCACTTCAGGGGTGAGCCTGATAGAATATGCTTGACTGTGGATGGTTCAGTCTGGCTGCCGGGAAGTGCACCGAAGTCCGTGTGGCCCTTCCTGGCCCTCTGTTCGTGTGCGGTGCTGCACGTGTCCTGCCGTGGACGTTCGACCCTCGTGGTGCTGGGTTCGGAATAACTGCAGGTGCATCATGCCACCCGCCTGGGGTCTGGCAGATGCGGGAGGGGTACCTAGTACTAGGTCGGGCATGTCCTCCTACGGGAGGATTTTGGGAGAACAATCAAAAAAGTCCAAATCCATGTGCAACAAAGAATCAAAAGAGCCAGACTAGTGTTTACTAGTCTTGAATATTCCTCCTGTGGAGGGACATGCCCGACTTGAACATAGTACGAGTCGACGGCCAAACGCTCTCGACGTCAGCCCGCATGAGCCGCTCAACACTTGCTCGAACGAGTGGGCCGAGCGACGCAGTAGGCACAGCTGGGGAATAGCGAAATGCGGGTTCGTCACGTCCTTCTGACATCTCCTCCATGTTCTTCTCTCGCCGCACTTGCCGCAGAAGCGCGTGCCGTCTGCGAAGACTTCCCTGGAGAGGAGCCCCGGCTGCATTCGCACGCTTCCTCTTCCTCGCCCGTCCCCCCAAACATGTTCAACGCAGCCAAACATACTCCTCACCTCTAGAGAGGAGGCAGCGGAGGAGGAGGAGGAGCAGCAGGAGGAGAAAGAGGAGGATGACGGAGGAGGGCTGTCAAGCGGCAGGGAATGGGGAAGAAGAACCGTGAGAAGGAGGAGGAGGAGGAGGAGGAGGAGGAGCGGCATGATGAGTAGGGGGACCAGCGATCCCCAAACTTCCCCCCCGCTACTGCATTGAAGACCTGCCCCGCTTCCAGCTTTCGCTCCTGGGGAAGCGTGTCCTCCGAGAGGGCCGTTGCCTTCCTAGAGCGTGCCCAGAAACTCTGCCCTCAAGAGTGCCAGTCCTATCTGAGAAGCCCAGCTCCTCGGCGCTCGAAGCCCCGTGGTCCGAACGCGAGCATCAAACGCACGTGTGTGCTGCTGGATCTCCGGATCTTCCAACTGCCCGGCCTGGACCAGCACGACAGGACATCAACGAAGCGGAGCCCCGTGCTTGCATCAGGCGCACCCGCAATCGCGCTCTGGCTGCGCCGCCCCGCTCCGCTCTCCCTGCGTCTGGCAGCGGCACGCGGCCAGCTGGCCCCCGCCCACGAGCGAGGACGTCGAGCAAGGGGGAGGGGGGCAGGCGCGAAGAGAAACTGCCCCTTGCGACGTCCAGAGGCAGCAAGATAAACGGCGCCAGAAAAAAAACAAATCCCCCCAAAAAACTGCAATAACAAAGCAACACACGTGACTCAAACATATTCACGTGGGCGCACAGGACAAATCCGCTGAAGCTGCCGTTATCGTGTAACTAACAACAGGCCGCAGATCCAGCCGTGTCAAGTCTAGGCGGATCGGGAAGAAGCTTACGGTTAGATCGGGCATGTCCTCCTGCAGGTGGACTTTGGAGCCAGAAATGTCCAAACTGTTCAAAGACAGTAGAAGGTCGTCTCCTGATTATTTGCGTCATCGTTCTTGAATATCCCTCCCGTGGAGAGACATGCCAGACTTAGGTCTACGGCGAGATGAACGCCAACAATCAATTCCCATAACATCGCACTTGCCATCCGTAGTGATCTTCTCTTATACTTCGTCCCGTGTCCCCTCTGCTGCTCCAGGTTCCGGTGCTGCTCGTGTATCATATGTGCCCTGGCTTGCACGACGTGCACAACGAACAGCCACAACTAATCGTTCAGGCATAGTGTTACAACAAACCCGCCAGAGGCGGTGACTTTTGCAAAGTCATGTGGCCTGGGCGCGAATGGGTCGTTCGCGGGTGTGGGTCGCGGGCGTGGGTCGCGGGGCGGCCTGTGACGACAACGCGAGGAGAAACGATCCGCACCGCGGAGCGGCACTTCAGCCATACCCCCAGGGAGAGTGTGAGGTCCTTCGGCCCCCAGGCTCTGATCAAATGCGCGCGCAAGCCCTCCTCCTCCTCCTCCTCCTCCTCCTCCTCCTCGCCCATTTCCCATGTTCCTCCCTTACCTCCCTTCACTGTCCTACCCACCTCAAGCTTCCCTCTTCTCTACCTCCTCCTCCTCCTCCTCCACCTTCTCCTCCTCATCATCATCCTCTTCCTCTCCCCTTCCTCCCGAAGTTCCTCCTCCTCCTCCCTCCCCCCTTCCCCCCCTCCTCCTCCCCTCCTCCTCCTCCTCCTCCTCCTCCTCCTCCTCCTCCTCCTCCTCCTCCTCCTCCTCCTCCTCCTCGCGCCGCGCGATTCGCCTCTTTGGCCGTCGGCCGCATCTCTCTCTCAACATTCGGACCGGAGGGGTCAGGGCTGGGGCGGGCAACGTGGCGCCGGAAAAGCTCGGGGAGGGAGGGAGGGAGGGAGGGAGGGAGGGAGGATGAGGAGGAAGAGGAGGAGGAGGAGAAGGAGGAGGCGGAAGAGGAGGAGGACGAGGAGGAGGAGGAGGAGGACGAGGAGGAGGAGGAGGAGGAGGAGGAGGAGGAAGAGGAGAAGGAGGAGGAGGAAGAAGAGGAGAAGGAGGAGGAGGAGGAGGAGGAGAAGGGCAGGGTGCACCGCAGGAGAGAGAGAGAGAGAGAGAAAGAACGGCGGCCCGCTCCTCCCCCGGAGCGGCGAGCTCGGAGGCCCGCAATCTTCTGTCGGGCGTGTCCCCCTATACAGGCGAATTCTCGAAGAACAAATAAACATACCCCAAACAAAATCCAAAAAGGTCAAACAATGTTCAACAAATATTCAAAAATACTCAAAAAGGTCCAAATAAAAAACACACCAAACAGGTCTACAAATGCTCAAAACATAGTCCCCGGACTATTTTTGGACCATTATTGGGGTATGTCTCATTTTTCGTCGGAAATCCCCCTGTCGGGGGGATAGGCCCGACCTAACCGCAATCTTATGCCGCTGCCGCCCGTTCGCTTCCGACTATCACGCCTCCGACCCCCTCCCCAACAGGTCGGGGAGTCGTAACTGAAGGGGCCCCGGGACACACAAATGAATATACACACAAGTAAGAGGATGTCCCATAGGTTCCTATATGTTCTGGGTTTCTGTCTTCCCCCCCACTTCCCATATTGTCCCATATTTTCGGCGGAATCGACGATGAATTGTGTCTGTGTGTTTTTTCCCTCCTGAGAGACACTCGAGTTCGGGTGGCTCAGGTTTGCCTGACGGGGCCGTCAGAAAAATGAAGAGAGGCCCAGCCTGAAATCCGATGCGAACCCCCGCTGCAGGCAGCCCGCTGCAGGCAGCCGGCCAGCCACCCCGGGTCCATGCGAAAGGGCCTGCAAGATCCTGCACCCAAGCCCGGGTCAATGCGACCCTGGCCCTGCAGGATCCTGCAACATCGGGCGCTCTGGCTGACCCCGGTTTGCATCGACCCCCGTCTCGGGGGCGGCCAAGAGGGGGGTGTCCAAGAGTGGGGGGTGCAAATCATGACCGGCGGCATGTGCGCGGCCCAGCGGGGGGGCCAGGGACGTAATGAAACAAGAAGAGGCGCCATGAAATCTGGGGAAATATCATGGCCGACGCCATGATGTCCCCCCCCCCTAGTCATCACTACCCTCTTTTCCGCCCCCGACCGTCTCGAGGCTCCCGACCCTTCCCTTTCCGGGACGGGCCGGCCGAAGAGCGTCGATGACGCGGACCCCTCCCCCCCAAAAGAGAAGCCGCGCGCCCGCACGAGCACGCCCTCGCCCACTGCCGCGGCGAGCCCTGGGGGCGCGCGGTGCCGCGCCACTCGCCATCGCTCGGACGTGCATTCCCTGTGTTTTTTTTCGGTTTCGTGCGTGGCTTTTTCGCCAAATGATCAAGGATGCTCCTCGCTTGTCCTCGCCTCGTGGTTTTTTCGCCAAATAATCAAGGATGATCAACATGCACACGTCCGAGCGATGCCAAGGCCAGGAGGGACGCGCGCGGCAGGGTGCCGCAGCGGGCGGGTAGCGCGCGGCGGAGGCGGGGCCCACTTGAGGCGAGGGCGCCGCGGGTGCCGCCCGGCCGCGCGCGCGGTGTCGAGCCGAGGGCGGGGCGCCGAGATCTCTCCGCGCGCTCCGCACCGCCTGCCCCCCTCGGTGCAGGGCGAGACGATGTCAGGGGAGGAAAAGATGCCCATCCATGCCTCTACCCCTGCGCCCGTTTCTCTCTCTCTTTGTCGGCCTCCGTGGAGCCCCTCGTCGCCGCCGCTGGATGCGCCTCGAACTCCCGGCCAGAACGCGCCCCTGGACAGGCCCGGGGAGCAGCGGCATCGCTACCTTTTGGTTTCCCAAGGATGACGCCACGATGCGGCTGGCTCAGGGTGCGACGCTCCGAGGAGTTCCAGAGCACCCATCAGCCTGGGACCTCCCAGCCCGCCTCGTGGACAGATCACGCCGGGAGGTGTATGTGGCCCCGATTGGTCCCTTCGGGCCCTCGTCAGGGCCTGGGGCCGTCAAAGTGACTGCCTGGGATGAGCAGCCAGCCCCGGAGAGAGGGGGTTGGGACTGCCAGGGACCCCTCGTGTTGAGAAAATCTCTACATCGCATTCCTGGGAGGAGCGAGGGGTCTGGAGAGCAAGGGGCCCTGATCTCTTCGCAACTCGCCACGCCTCTCTGGGCCCTTGCCAGGCCCTCGCTCCTGGAGCTCCTGCGAAGCCAAGGGGATCTTGGAACCCTTGGGACTCGCCACTATTATGACTCGACGTCGCTTGCATGTTTCGGCGATGACCCGGGTTATCCAATGGGGGGAAGGGTGCCTGCCGATAACCCAGTCTCCTCGCTGCGGAAGGCCCCACGTACGATCGCGCGCATCAGTGCTGCGGAACCCCTTCGGCCCTGCGCAACCACTCACCCGCGTTCTCGCTGGGGACACCAAACAATACCAATACTGGTTCCCCCTCGGACCTCTCCCGGGGTGTTTCTGACCAGAATTTCGAAGCGAATCCAGCGGTGGCGACGGGGGCCTCCGAGGAGGCCCAAAAAGAGCAAAACGGCCGAAAGTTAGCGGTACGGATACCTTTTCATCATCTGAATCGCTGGACCGTGAAAAAGCAATTCCCTCCTTGCCTCCAGGCAAGCCCTTCTGCCAGGGCCCGCGGCGCGTGGTGCGAGCAGGAGGAGAGGAGGAGGAGGAGGAGGAGGAAGACGAAGATGACGAAGAGGCGGAGGAGGTGGAAGCGGAGGAGGAGGAGGAGGATGACGACGAGGAGGAGGAGGGGGAGGAGGAGGAGGAGGAGGAGGAGGAGGAGGAGGAGGAGGAGGAGGAGGAGGAGGAGGAGGAGGAGGAGGAGGTGGAGATGGAGGAGGAGGAGGAGGAGGACGACGAGGATGAGAAGGAAAAGGAGGAGGAGGAGGAGGAGGAGGAGAGAGGAGGAGGAGGAGGAGGAGGAGGAGGAGGAGGAGGGGAGGGGAGGTGGAGGAGGAGGACGACAACGAGGAAGAATGGGGAGAAGGAGGAGGAGGAGGACGACGACGACGACGACGACGAGGCGGAGGAGGAGGAGGGGGAGGAGGAGGAGGAGGAGGAGGAGGTGGAGGTGGAGGAGGAGGAGGAGGAGAGACCTCGCGCCCCTGCCAGCGAGGACCCCGCGGGCGGGCTCCGCCGACGCCGTGGGCGGCCGCCGCTCCACGGGCGAGGAGGGGCAGCTCCCGGGAGGGCCCCGCCAGAACGAGTGATAAATCCAGGCCTCGGAGGAAATTGGCGAGCGCTCATGCCACACTCATCTTATGTTGCCCCCATCGTACTCAAAGACCACATCCCAGAAATAACTTCGAGCACCCGGAAAAGTGTCGAAGGAGTGTCGAAACAGTGTCGGGCGAGTGGCTCCCAGGGCCCGACACGTGAAAACCCTGGAGTTTCGGCACTTTTCTGGTGCTCGAATTTCTCTCAGGTGATCAAGACTAACGTAGGTTGGAACATCATACCACTCACCTGTCAATGGCCCCCCTAATGATCAGTGTCGGGGGTGGGTTGGCTGAGTTGCACTTCGACTGCCGCGCGTGCCAACTTCGAGTTTTGGGGGGAGGGGGAGTGTCCACTGATTGCTTCCCTCTACCGTCGGGGGGGGGGAAGAGCATCAATGTCACGCCGCCGCGGGGTCCCCAAGGCCCCATCGGCGTGTCACTCCCTCGCCCTTCGCCCGACAAGAAGACAGCGCGCACCGGCAACAACACGCCGAGGGGGCCCTGGGGCCCCCCGTGGCGGCGTGACAGATTGGCACGCTTTCGCCCCCGCCGGGTAGAGGCCTCAGTTGCGGATGAAAGTGAAGAGCGCGAGCGCGGGGAGGGTCGCAGGGTGGGTCGGAGGGTGAGTCGCGGGTGGGTCGCGGGGTCGCGGGGTGGCTCACGGGTGGGTCGCGGGCGGGAGGCGGGCGAGGACGATGGCAACGCAACAGCACCACTTATTTTGAGACTGTTCGCTCGCATCTGCTCGCGTGCCACTCAGCACGCATATCCCGAACGCTCCATACCCGCCCGCTTCGTGGTCGACAGTGCCGCTGGAGGTATATCGTCCTTACCTGCCAGGTGCAGTTGGCGCAGCACCCGAAACAAGGGAAGGGAGGGAGGCGGAAAGGAACGACGGAGAGAGAGAAGCATGGACCGCGACAGGGACTGGCAGGAGGTGTCTTCGCAGCAAGAGCGCAAAGCGGCAAGACCCGACGCGTGGGTCGGGCGGGGGCGAGTCGGGCGAGCGGGCCCAGGCGGCCGGGTGGAGCGGGAGGGTCGCGGAAGCGTCGGTCCCGCACGAATCATGAGGAAGTCTTTAGCGACAGCACGATTCCCTCGTAAATCGAGAGAGCAAGTCCAGAGCGGGAGGATGGTTCCCGAGCGTCGAGGGCGTGGCGCCACAGTAAATTCCAAGGAAGTACAGAGTGAGAGCGCGACTCCTGCATGTGTTGTGAAGTCCAGGGCGGGAGCGCGACTTTGAAGAACTTAGGAGGAAGTGTTCAGCAGGGGCCGTTGTTGTGGTAGTTCGGGGGCCCAACCTCACATTCTGAAGCCCAATCCTTTCCTTTGGAAAAGAGCAGGGTGTGAACCCCCAAAGAAACACTTCAATTGAAAGACAAGGTGCAACGGAAGGGGGGGAACAACAATGCTTACTCTGTAGAGAAATCGCAGCAAGCATTATCAGCCTGACCGCTCTTCTCTACTTGCGTGACACTCAGCAATGCAGCCCAAATCCTCGATACCCGCCCTCTTCGTGCTCGATCGTACCCTCCTTGGGAGTCCCCACCTGCCACGAGCAGTTGAAGCAGCGCTTGAAACAGGGGAAGGGAGGGAGGAGGATATCGGGCCGGGCGAAAGGGGGGGATAGCAAAGGGGGGGGTGAGAATCAGCTCACGTAGCTGAATTTCCCAGCGCCTCCCGGCTCCGGGAGGCGCCTACGTATCGAGGAATGGGCCCGGTGGCGGGGCTGAAACCAGCTGCATGCAACAAATGTCGTAACCCCCCCTTTACCTACCCCACCATTTCGTCCGGCCCGAGGATAGGGACACGGGGGAAGGAGAAGGATGGAGCATGAGAGAGATTGGGGGGAGGGGGGTTCGGAGGACCCTAAAATAAGCGGGTCGTGCGGGCGGGACCAGACGGCCGTGTCCAGCGGGGGGGTCGCTGAACCGTCCGTCCTGTGTGAATCGTGTGCATCGTGAGCAAGTCCAGAGCGGAAGCGTCGTTGCTGAGAATCGACGGCGCGGTGCTTTAACGAATAATCAGGAAGGAACACGCGAGAACTTGACTCCTGCATACTCTGCGAGGACGGCCAGCGCGACAGCATACTTTTGAAAAACTCATGAGGAAATATCAAGCGGGAGCCGCCGTTGTGGCAAACCGCAGGGCGGGGGCTCTGAGCTGAGGCCCAAGTCTTTGCCGAACAGAACCCAAAATGCGAGCACAATAAGTGGCACCTCGCATGAAACCACACAATGCGCACCGGAAGGGGGATCAACAATGCGTATTCTGTGGTGATGGGAATTTCATGACAACGCAACAACAAGCGGAATCCGCTGGACGGAACGCCAATTGCGCCACACATCCAGGAACGATGGCTGTCTGGTCGGCCCCTTCACTCTGATTGAACCCTATGAAAGGGGGCAACTGTGTGTGATGAAGCCAGACTGAGCCCAGGATTCAATCTGATTTAACGGGATTGTCTGCTTAGTTCCATCGAAACTCCAAGGATGAAGTCGCAGTACACGGGAGTCCGCGAGACCAGGCCAGTTCACGACCAGGGATACGCAAGCGCTTATGTGCTTCTCCTCCCAGGAGGCGCTGCATCCCAAAAGGGGTGAGCACGCGCGCTGCTCAAGAGGTCCGACCGTGTCCATGTCCACGCCCTTGCGGTCTAGATCCTGGGGCGCGACCCTGTGGATTCGCAGACGTGCGGATGCACTCCGCGAGGGGCATCCGCGAGACCGCGTCCTGCGTCTGCGGGGTCGCGGCCCATGCAGGGGCCCCGTCCTCGATGTCCGGGATGCAAATCTCTTCCCCGCCCGCGGGCTGCGACCGCAGCTCCTCCATCCACAGGCTAGTCTATACCGGCCGGCGGGGGGCATTCTGGCAGGACGCGTCCGTTCCTGGCCACCGTGTCGCGTTCAACAGCTTGTGCCCGTGATCGGCAGGGGGCAGAGGGAGCAGGAGGAGGAGGAGGAGGAGGAAAAGGAGGAGAAGGAGTAAGGAGGAGGAGGAGGAGGAGGAGGAGGAGGAGGAGGAGGAGGAGGAGGAGGAGGAGGAGGAGGAGTAAGG